GTGTGTGTTGATATCTCTAATTAGTTTTCAATTCAATTTGCATTTTACTTCCGTCCCGCTCGCTCTTAAGCCAAACGTTAATTAACCGTTTGGAAATTATGACAATTTTAAGTGCCTGTGAATTTAATTTGAATTTAACGAGTTAGTCAGACGCAAATAACAAAAATACAAAAAAAGTTAAACAGATCCGAACTGACCAAAAATAAATCTATAAATCGATTAGAAATAATGATCTTCGTTGACAATCTGGTGACTATTTTATGTGCATTGCCTTCATAATTAGCTGGTCGAGTGAGTTATGTTCGGGCTCGAAGTATAGCATCTTGAAGACTGAAGGTCAGCTGTCTTATGGGTCGCATTTCTAACCAAATTAACTTTCCAGTTTTTTCGCTTCTCAGTCTGTCAATTTTTCCAGCTCCCTCGATGTTTACTATTTGTACACATCTTTCATATCACTCCGATACTTTTTTATCTGCTTCCAACGAAGGCTGTGTAAACCATATGGCATAGTTCCCTCGCTGACTGTGGCTCTTCGTGTTTCGCATTTTGTTGCTGTGACTCATTAAGATAAGCAACTTTATGTGTCAATTTGTCAACTCTAAAAAAAAAAAAACAGAAAACAAACAAACAAACTGACATCGCAAACTCTTAACGGAACAGACAATTTATTTTGGCTATGTGTCTCTGTGGATATGCCAAAAATAAACGTTGATCAAAAGCCCGTTTGCCGCCCTCTGCGCAATTCGATCTAAACTGATCTGGCAAATAAGAGTGCTTGACGTAGCAAACGCCCTGTAGCTGAGCTGAGCCAAAGTATTTGAAAGATGCCACTTTACCTTTTATATTAATGGGGTTTTTGTGCATCTGACTAAGCTTTTAACAGCTTGTAGAATCTTTACGTAATATATATATATATATATCGAAAACTCTGCTCACCCTAAAAAATCTCAGCTAGTTTTAATAGTAAAAAATATGTTTGCGACAAATATGTTTGAAATTATCATTTTTTTAATAACGTTTATTAATATTAGAGCCTTAAAGTTCATTATTCAATTATATCAAATATGAAAACTAATATTCAATAAAGATATTAGAACAAATTTTTAAGTTTACTTTTAACTCTAAGAATCTTCATTGAGCCTTTGTCGTTCATTCCTTGCATCTCTTCAGATAGATCTTCTTGTATTCTACTTTTAAAGAAACTTGCACAAAGTTAAGAAAGTTTAAGTTGATCAAGAGCTTACGTAAATGTTGTACTTATTTTGGAATTTAAGTCTGGAATATATATTGACTTTACACAACTTGCATAGCAATAATTAAGGGCTCGAGCTCTGGGGAAGTCTGAATTTATTGAGGTCTGTTTAGAGTTAAACTTGTAATTTGTTTTTAGCTGCTGTTTTTACAGAGTATCTAAAAAAATACTAAATTGAATGGAAACTGATATAAACCATAAGACAATACATAAATGTATTTGCATTGCATTGTACACAAATATTTAATTACGCTACTAATTGCCATTGACGCCGACAACAATCAAACACTTTAACCAATATGCGAGGTCAAGAGACTTAACTCCTCCCTAGCAGCCCCTACTCTACTTTAGTGTCTGCCTTAAAGCAGATGTTGTGCAATGCGTCAAGTGTCTCAATACAATAACACAAGTGTTTTCTTCTTCTTTTTATTTATATATATTTTTTTCATACATTTTTTGTTTTGTTTTTTTTTCTTGCTGTTACGCCCACAACTTCAATCGAGAAACTTTCAGAGAAAAATGCAATGAGATCAGCGACCAATTCCTTTAGTTAAAAACAAAAAAATTGCAACAACAACGAAAGCGATTATCATTTTTGTGTTTGGGTTTATTTATGGCCTGTTATACATATCACAGCTGTTGTCTGTGTGGGAGGCAGTTGTCCATGACGTCATTGTGGCTAAAACGAGCTTGCGAAACCAGTTGGCCTTTTGACAAAGCCAACAACAATCGCGCAAATCATTTAAATGACATTACACGCAAATGAAACGTAAACAAGTTAAAGATTGTAAGCAGAAACCCGAATACCTGGCTTGAGCATACCCTAGCATCTAAAGGGGTATGCCAACTGAATCTGAAAGTAAGAAGAGGTCTATGAGTATAGCTGAAATGACAGAATTGAATAGAAATTATCGATAAAATAAGAATGTCAAGAATAAAGGATTATCTTATCAGACTTATCGATATTAGAATCTATTGAGCATACAAGAATGTGAAAATGAAAGTATTAGAGATAAAAGGTAATAGATAATAGCATCTATCGGGCATGTGAAGACTAAGGAATGGAATGTATGCTAATAAAGTTAGGTTGTAAGAATTATATCGATGTGCTGGCTTCATTTTGCTAAGTACTTACAATTTTCATTCGATGTATCAAGGAAAGAAGTTAACAGTTTAATTCACAGTAAATTCACTGAACGAAGTTATTTAAAATGAAAACTTAAAAAATGGGAAGACGATTTAGTTCTTCTTCTACAGAACGCAAAAAGAAAATCTCAGTAAAAAGATTTATGGGCATTAATAAGTATGAATTATAATTGTCATATACTACAAGATCTTAAGTAATAGCATATTACATATAGAGTTGATGAAGTTGGGAAGTTCAAAGAACAAGATCGGACGTGGAAAATATATCAGGAATGTAGAGAACAAGTAGAAAATATTTAAATATACCTAATTGTATAATTGTAGAGATCTAGAAGTGTAGCTACTCTATGAAACTCAAAACTTCTCTTCATACCCTATATGAAACGAAGAAACTGATATTTAAAACGATTGCAGGAAAAGACTAAGACATGTCTAGACCCAGACTTCAACCTTCATCAATCAAAGTCTTTTGCAAGCCATGTACACACGCTATCCACCATAAAGTCACGTAGATCTTGGCACCCGAGCACGTAATACTTAGGGAATCTAATACACCCTCCAGTGCCTAACATTAAAAGTCAGTACGCCTACTACACAAAACCTGTCTGTAGGTGGGTAAGCGAGTAGCACTTCGAAAGGGGGAGCCTACTGCGACTCGTATTCGGGGTCGCGGTCGGGGTCGGACTCAGTCACTGGGTCACTTGCTGGTGCCCTACTCAATGCCAAAGTGAAAACAAAACAACATGGAAATGCCATTGTTTCAGCTATTGCAAACAGTATGTGAATTATATATACATATATATACATTATTGTTATTCATTCCCAACATCAATCCGACTTGACATATTTCTCCGTTTCGAAATAATTGAGAGCCTAAAAACAATGTCCAGTAATGTCTTCATCTCCAGTTGTAAGCGCATGACGCGCACTTCTCAATAACTCACTCACTAATTGACCGACTGGCTGACTGACTGACCGCCTGACTGACTGACTGACTGAGTAAGTGAGTGATTGAGTGATACTCATCGTATTTACTTTTCGGTTGACGCCCTTCACAACCGGCATATTTTGCAGCACTTCAATTATCATTACGGAAAATTGTCGTCTGACTCTGACTTTGCGTCTGAGTCGTGTCTGGGTTTAGGTCGAGTCTTTGGCTCGACTTCGGCTCGGGTTTGGGCTGGGCTAGCCTGGTCTGGTTTGGTCTGTCCCGTTGCCGGTTTGTCATGAGACGGATGTGGCCTCTGACAGGCGGAATTCAAGTGGCTTGGGCGTCAGCGCGTGGGCAGCTTGTAATAGATGGCAGAGGTGGGTTGACTAGCTTCAAGCTGCTAGTTGCTAGTTGCTCAACAGACGTTTTTCCTCTCTTGGTTTTCGTTGCAAGCGTTTTTGCAAAGCATTAAAGAGTGTTATTCATGACTACTATTCATGCTATTTTTGAAAATTTTAAGAGGAAATTATGTGGACGTGGAACTCTTAACATCTTTGCAATACAACTGTAAATCATGAATAACTATGAATGTTTTGAATACTATTTATAGGTACACTCGTGGTTTGATAGTCACTTGTATCTCTTCTTTTTGAGATGTTTGAAAAAGAAAATTTTAATAAATTAAAGTATCCTACATTCATACTATTTACAGCAAAATTAAATTCTAACTTAACCTAATAATATTCATACAATATAAATTAGAAATTCCGAAATGAGTAACGACATCTTTATAGCAAATACAATTTGTGAGTGCTAATGAGTTTTACGCATTCATGCACTCTTGAGAAGCATCATAAGTCAATTAATAAACAATCAACGCATGTTTCTCAAAACACTCAAGATTTTTATTCATATGCACATATGCAAACGACTCAACAATATATATATATATATATATACATTTAACAACTAACTTTTAACACTGAGTACCCTATATTCATGATTTCAATTTATTAATATAAATACAATTACAATTTCAATTCATATAAATAAATACATATATATTTATATATTTTATGTATATATATCAATATATTTTATATGTATATATACTATACGCTGGAATTGCTATAATAATGATTATTTAGGTGTTATTTTTAAGCTTCAATTATGAATCATTATAATTCCCACGATTTGACATTCTTAGAATATTATTTTTAGTATTTTCTATCAATACTTCGCATTAGTAATAGTCAGTATTTATCTAATATGCATAAATATGTTTAAGAATATAATTAAAAGAGTTTCTATTGATGAGTGTTATTCACAAATATTAAGTACTTACTATTGCAATGTATTAGAAAACCATAGAGAAGATAAGAAGTACTAGTAGTTCTTATGATTAATGTTTTAAGTATTAGTCATGAATACTATTATATGTTATTCATGTGGGTACTCGAATGAAAGTATATATATATATGAGGATTCTGTTAGTCTTAGCTCTGAATAAATGCGAGCTGGAAATGAATTATTTCTAATAATAATATTTCATACTTAATGTTCTATGTACATTGAGATATATGAGTATCGTTCACGAATAACCTGCAATTGAGCTAAAACACTCAAAACAATTCATTTAAATAAAGCTCGAATCATTTGTCAAGTATTCATCCTTGCCGCTGGCCTTCCACGAGCTAAAAAACTTGGCTTTAATCCGCAGTTCATGAATACAAAGAAAAAAAAAACATTATGAATAAACGGCAAGTTGAACTATATGTCTAACTGTTGCCCAACTGTTTACTAACTGTTGTCAGGGGTAGGGGGTGTGGTTGACCACCCTCGCGTGGGTTTGAACTTACCTTGGTGGTGGCCACATTAGCTAGTTGGCGTGCCTGAAGGCAATTGAAAAGGCTTAAGGCAGCCGGCTGGCAATTAAATCAACTGCCAATTGGAAATCAGCTCAACCGATTTTGCGACTAATTAAAAATGAAATTTGCGTAAGCGCGCATTTAAACACCCACACAAATATCTATACACACACAGCCACACTCACCCGACACTTGCACAGTTATATAAAGTGCAGCTCGCAATCTGAATAACGCACTTGTATTGATTAAGGCCGGCCACTTGAGCTTACAAAGAGCAGGCGCTGCACAAGTGGGCTGCTCTAATAAGCGACAGCGGGAGAGAGAGGCACAGACAGAGGCAGTGCTGGAGAGCTTGAGCTTATATCTAGATGTCAGAATCACTCGAGTGCGACCAGCGCATGCAAATGAATGAAAGGCAAAAAACTAAGAAACACAAAAACAAACACACACAGCCACACACAAACACACTCACTCACACCCAGTGAGCTTTAGCTTTAAGCCTACTCATTTGCACTCCCGTTTGGAGTGTGGCTTAGTCACGACTTCCAAGGCTTTTGAGCCGCTACTGACTCATTCATGTGACAAAACTTTGCTCAATTTCGGCATCAATTGCCATGCATTTCCGTTAATTGAAGCGCACAGCTGTTATGTGATCAATGTGGTTCAGCTTTCCATTTTATAAGACTGCACTCAATAACTGTTGTATTTTGTCTTCGTTCATAATGTACTGTGACAACTGCATTGGCCAAGTGCTCCGTCTCCCTCTCCCTCTCTCTCTCTAACACACGCACTGCAACTTTCAAAGTGCTCAGCTGTTTCGGCAGTCGCTCTCACGCGCTCTCCGACCGTGCGCTCTCCCGTCTCTCTTTCTCTGTCTCTCTTTCGACTGAGCTGCATTTTAACATTTTTATGGATTCTTCAACTATTTTTACACCTCATAGATTAGCTTTGCCGTTTTATGTGTTACACACACACACACAAACACTAAAAAGAATTATAATTTGTTTCTTTTTGGTCAGTACTCTCAATTCTAATGGCGTTCCAGTTATCGCACCCGCATCGCAGATCCGCTGCTTGTTTATATTTTGCTAAGTTCATTTTCTGGCTATTTTCGTATGGCGAGTGAAATAAGGAAGTGAATGTATTCAAAGAGGGCACGAACCACTCTCGCGCGGCGTCTTGCTGAATAGCCGATGCTTAGTGTTGCTTCTTTTTTCAGCCCGTTCTGCAGCGCACCAAATTAGGGCTTTTTGTTTATTAACGGCCATGACCATTAGCGGTTTATTTTCTCTTCTCTTTCTTTTTTTTTGGTCAATTTCTTATTTCTAACATTTTCGCTGCCAACCCACATGCTTGACCGCAGCTTTTTGCCAATTCCGCCCGCAGTTGTCGCAATTAAAAACCCGCAGCAAAAGGCGAAGAGCGCATTTGTTGACCAAATATGTGGCATTTTTTGAGTGAGCAAGTGAGTGAGTGAGTCTCTCGTCTGGGTCATTCATACATGTGTAGCGACTCGAAGAGCTTAAGCCCTGGTGCTCCCACGATCGCGCTCAGCCCACACACACACGCATACATAAAGTCACACAGCAGCACTAGCGGAGAGCAAAAGACAGAGAGGCAGAGAGAGAGAGAGAGAGAGAGAGCGTGTGATTGCGAGCGCTACACCTGCTTAGTTCACGCACACACACTCATACTCATACTCATACCCAAACACTGGCATACACATGCATGCAGTCGACGCTCGCAGCTCGCAGCTCGGCACCCATTCGAAATCGTTGTTTGCGCTCTGCCCGTGTTCTCAGTCCAATTTGAACAACGATACCGAGCGGTTGGCGTCCTCTGCAATCAAATTATTTTCGTTATTTGAGTGTCCGAACAGACAGCAGCAGTAGCAGCAGCGACAGCGACAGCAACAACTACAACATCAATTTGTAAATTTCTGCTGCCGCTGCCAACGCACAGCCGTTTTTCTAACTTGGCCCTAAGCAGCAGCAACAACAACGCGAAAAAAAGTTGTCGTGTGTGTGAAAAATTGTGCAAAGTGCGCAGAAAAGAATTCAAATCATAAAAAAGCGTAATAATTCCCACAATATCCGCAAGCCACTATAAAAATAAAGTGTGTTTATCTTAGAAAGAAACAAAAAACTATAAATAATAGTGACTTAAATCAATTGATTAACTGATCGAGTGCGTGTTGCCTGTTGCTTGTTGCTTATCAGCCTCATAAAAATGAAATAAACGCACTTTAAATTGGCAGCTGTATTTGCACGCTGCTTCTTCCAGTTGTCCATTTGCGCTCGTGTGTGTGAGTGTGTGTGTGTGCGTGTGCATTTTTCAAATATTTGCCAGATCTCAACTTCGAAAGAGACGCCCAAGAAACTTCTTTAGCTTTGCTTCAAATTTTTTGTGTGTTTTGTGTGGTTGTTTTTGCCATTTCTGTTGGCTGGCTTTTCATTCAATAACCAGTTTCTTTTTGTTGTGTGTGTTCGCCTTCCTTTTTTTTGAGTTTTGTTTTCTTTATTCTTATTTTCGGTACCTTTTTCAACATTTTGTTCGGCTATGCGCCTGCGTGCACGCACAGATTTGATTTCCAGCGGAATTGCCCGCAAATTAGTCATGCCAAACGCACTGTCTCCAGCGTCTCAACTGCTAAAGTCTACCTGAGTAGTTAGTTCTTTATATTTGTCCGTTTGCTTGTCCGTCACATTCTTTAGGCTCCTTGCACACATGCCAGACATAGTTTTGAGTGCGCGCTCTTTCTCTCTTTCGATCTCACTCTCACTACCGCTCGCCCGCTCTTTCTGACTTAGAACAATGCAGCACACAAATTGAGCAACGTTTTGTTGTTTCTTTCGAATGCAAGTTGAGCGCGCTCTCGCCTAAGCTTAGGCCTGGCTTGGAGAAAAGCGACTGGAAGAAAACATGTGTGAGACACAAAAATAACTGTGCCACACAGTGTTGGAAAAAGTGCAAGGGAAATGAGTGATGTGAAAATTAGTAAACAAGAAACACATTTTTATGAGTTATTGTGTGAATTTTTGCATGTGAATAAAAAATACAGCAAAAACAAAAAAATATAAACAAAAGAATAAGAAAATCAAATAAAATAATACAACATTTTAGAAGTGAAAACGAACTGAAGAAAGTTGCAAATTAAATAAATTAGAAACCAATTATGCCAAACCAATTGTCAAAACACAAAAACAATATATTTTGGTTAAATTTAAAAATAATGCAAAATTGAGTAAAAGTGCAATGCAAAACGAATTCATTTGATAATTTTTGTCGTGCGAAAACTAAAAACAATGCACAATAACAAATGGAAGCAATAAACAAATTGAAAATATCAACAACAAGTAGACAAGCACGAGAGAAACTGAAAAATATATATTTGTATGGGTATCTTTTGCGCCGAGTATCTGTATCTGTAAATGTATCTGTGTTTTGTTGTGGATGGCCGGACGGTATCTAATCAGCGCGACAGCCTGTCTCATTGGCCAGCTGCGTGTTGCGTGTTTCAACTATTATTTATGTAGTTATTTATAAATGTATTATGGAAGTTGCAAGTTGAAAGAAAGGGCGGCAGAAGCAGCAGAAGCCGTTGCTGTCACCCCAACTGCTGACCTCATGCAATCGAGAATGCAAAATGAACAACAAAAATTTATCAAAGAAATTCCATTTGTAATTCAACTTGAATAAGCACCTAAAAATAAAAAGTGAGCTTCACTCTTGTCGCAAATGAAAGTACATATTTTTTATGGCCATTGTTCAGTTTTAAGTGCAGCAAAAAATGAAATATTTGTATGCTTATAAGAAGACAGGAGGAGACAAACAATTTAGAGCATAGAGCTCACTTTTACTGCGCTTTTGTATCAGTGCTTGTCTGCAATTGTATTTGTATCTCTAGCACGCTAGCTGTCACAGCAGCTGCGCTGTCTGATTTCAATTTATCTTTATAATTTCAATTTGCGACCCGTGCCGCACCCGGGGAGACAATTGACGCCCATACCCTACATAACCTTTGAAAGGTCAGAAAAAGTCATGGAGTTCATGAAAAAAGTGAGCTCTAAATGATACTTGTACATATGATAGGTGCAATCCGATCTACTATATGACTAAGTCAAAGAAATATGATAATAATATTCCGTTATTTATATTATTCAAATGTAACTCTATTGTAGAGGAAACAACTCATATTGATTGGAAAGCCAAAAGTAAATTTACTAAACAGAGCATTGCCTTTGAATATACAGAAAACTCTACAAATTTCGGAGTGAGATTTTTCTTAAAGTAAAATAAAGTCTAGAAAAAAGTCAACGTCTAATTAGATTTACAACCTGACAGCTTTTTTTCTTAAGAATTCACTGTGTGGGGTTTCAATCATGGACCTCGTGACTTCTGTCGCTTATGTGCAGTAGCAAAAATGCTTCAAAGAAGCTTATTCGCTTCAGTAGTTTTTGTTAATAGGGAAAAATACATTTTTATAAGAAACCATAATGGATCTCTGCAAATCAAGTCTTCTAGCTCGTTAAGCCTTCTATGTGATATAGTTGTTTGTATAGGGTATTTGAACTTCTGCCCGTTCATTTTCATTCTCTTTATTTTGTTTTTTGTCAATTGTCTGTAGTTTGTCGGGACAAACAGTTCAAGAGCCGGACGACAAAATGCAGAAACAGCGAGTCGTTCGTCATTTGCAGAAAGCATATAAAAAGAAAGATACACACACATACACTAAAAAGATACAAAAGATACTCGCGAGCATGTGCAAAAGATACAAATGCTGCGTAGCCGGCGGCTGAGTTGGTTTTTTTTTTTTTGGCTGCCAGCCAATTGGAACAAAATGCCGACAAGAAGAGATTTGCAAATAGACTTCCTCAACAAAAACCACGCGAGTCAACAAAACTTTTACTCACATTTTATTGCACTTGATTTAAATTTTTGTTTTATTTTGCAATTCGATTCGTTTATTTGATTTCACGTTCAAGTACGTTGCGCTGACTCATGCAGTTAATTTGCATCTCTCTGGAAACCAACTCGCAATTCGCAACTCCAAGTTTAGCCTTTTTAATTTCGTTTTGTCAATCAGTCAGTCAGCGGAGCAATAAAAATAAAATCACAAAGTGCCATCCACAAAAACAAGCGAAAAAGAAGAGAAAAATACCCGAAAATAAATAAAAGAAAACTGCAGCAAACGTGCTAAAAATAATAATCAAGAAAGATACGCGCAAGCGAAAGTATTTCATGACAACGCAAGATGACATCGCATTCCTATTATAAGGATCGTCTCGGCTTCGATCCCAATGAGCAGCAGCATGAGCCGGGTAATCATCACAACAGCGGCGGCGGCGGCGGCACCAATTCGATGAAACGGAGCAGCTCCAGGCAGACTCACCATCATCATCAGAGCTATCATCATGCCACAACGACGAGCAGCTCAGCCGCATCGCCTGTTGCACGAATCTCTGTCTCCCCTGGTGGCAACGGCACCCTCGACTATCATCAGGTTCAGCGGGAGCAACGCGATCGGGAACTGTACGCCAATGGCCATAACAGCAGCAGCTCTCATCATTACCATCATCATCAGCAACATCAGCAGCATCATCCGAGACATTCGCATGGACTGATCGAGGCTAGTCCGGCGGCCAAAAAGGCCAAACACTCGTCAACGCAGGCGCAGCCACAGGGCGGCTACGAGGATGCGTTGACCCAGTTTAAAGGTACCATGTCCATTTGGGATCATTTTATTGAAGATTGGGATATCATGCGTAAGTCGGCAAAGGTTCATTTTATCAATCGAGTTGTTTGTTACTCGTTCGTTTGGCCGTTACTCGTTAATTGTTACAAGCTGCCAGGCAGGCTGCCCATCCGGACGTTCAACTAACTGGAATGCTTTAATACGCTGCTCGTTACTCGTTGCCTATTGAAGACTAGAGAGTGCTGTCTCTTATGCTATTTAACCAGCTATTCGTTACTCGTTTCTCCATACTTGCGAGATTCTGTTACCCAGATTGATATACTAAACATAGATTTAAGAACCTTCTTCTAGTACAAGTGCGATAGAATGGGCATTTCTTGTCTATTTATTGTACCTAATTTTTATTTTCTATTTGTGACTCACTACTAGAATTCTCTACTATTTGAAACCCCTTCTTCTCGTTACTCCTTACCCATTTTTTTTACGACTAGCAACTTGCAACATATCATTCAGTCACATGCGAGTATCTTTACTCATCAAGAAAATAAATAAATTCTTAAAAAGAGCTTTACGCTCTAGTCACTACCTGTTACTCGTTACTTTGTACTCGCTACTTTTCTGCGAATATCCATTCCCTAGCTTTATTCCTTCGTTGAGATTGTATTAAATTTTAGCTGATTTGATCTTAACTTCTTATTCTTCTCTTCTATACTCGCCTCTCATAGCTGTTCATTTTCCGTATCTCAATCTTGGTAGATTCTATTTTTGCCACTTGCTTGACTAACAATGGTTCTATTAAAAATGCCGCCTGCGGAAATGATTTGCATTTGCATAATGATTAACGAAATCGCGATTAGATGAAAAAATATGCTTGCATAATTCTAATTCTTATTATGATACGGGCTCTCAGCTTTTAGCATCTGGCCCGGGTTCAAGGTCGTTAGCCAAAACTTAGTCATAAATTAAATATAGCTTATAAATATGCAATATGTCCATGGTATATAGTGAGAGAAACCATTTGACACCTTTCCGTTTTATGAAAGCACTTCGATTGTCTGACCCTGACCATGAAATTGATGGAACGACAACAGCCCGAAGAGTGGTTCAAACCCTACCCATGTTTACGGTAAACATTTCACCACCATCACCAGCCAAGTATGAGGTATTTCATTTTAGGTGGGTCGGTCGACGTACCCATGTCGTATGCAAAGCTATGTCAATATTATTTTAACGTTTGCTTCGGCACCAAAAAATATTGATTTATTTATTGATTTTTAGGCGTAAATATTTCAAAACTGGTTACTGACGATTCGCTGGGTCGTTGTCATAATCTTTCTTCTGGTTCTTTTGCTGAACCCTACAAGCTGCGGCAATTAACTCGCTCGCTCAAACAAATTAGTCGTATTCAAAATTCTCCGAATTTCAGCTGAGTATTTATGTATATATATAGAAATAACTCTGTACAAGGAACCAGTTTATGATTTTCTAAAACACAATTTTTACGAGCTTTTTATGCTGATTTTGTTGTTGTTTTCATTATTAATTTGACTTTTGTTTTGAGTGGACAGAAATCAGAATATTTTCGGAAAACTGTTAACTATGGGAATTCGATATTCGATATTTAATATTCGATATTTACCGATTTGCTAATTTGTTGATGGGTAAGCGCTTACCCCATGATAAATGCCTTTTCAAAATTCTTTTGTTGTTTACCTACCACAAATTGGACCGGACTTTGCGCCCATCAAATGCTTATAATTTGTGTATATAGGACATATATATATATATGTGCTGGTAATACTTCTGACAGACTCGTTATGTTATTTTATCAAAGCTTAAGTGCGGTAAAAGCATTAAGTAAGTGTGTGATCAATAAATACTCTGCACATGGCTTATAATCTTTTGTCGAAATGCCTTAGACTGTGTAATTAGAGGGGAATACGTAGAGCAATCAAAAACGTGTAGCCTCTCGGTTATGTGAGGGTAGATGAGCTAATATATACCCAAGCTCTTATAGTCTCAGTTTGACGATATCAGACAACAACAAAATTTAAATATAATCATTTTCTTAGACTAAGCGAGCGTTTGCATACTAAATTTAACGACTCTAACCTTTATATAAGTTCGATGATATCTTATAGTTTTTATTTTTACAATGGAATTCCAACTTAATGTAGAGCTTTGAAAAAGCCAAAAGAACTATGTCAGATTGATGCTTTACAGTTATAAATATGATATATTTTAATGAATTCAATGACGTCTTTTATGAGTCTTAAAGCTTTTAAACTATATAAACCAAGTTCTACATGGCGTTATGCATAACAGCGAGAATTATTTTAAAAATTTGATTGTTCAGATTGGTCTTCAAGCTTAAAGAAATCGTTGGCTATTATATATAGCAGTAAAAGTTTCGTCTACCCCCAATATCTATGTTTACTGGGTATTTGAAAGGGGTTTTTATATATTTTTGCTAATTATATATAAGGTTGCCCATTTGTAATCTTCTTTAAAAGTCTTCAACTAATTATAGGGTATACAAAACACGATATGTTCGACTGCCCTACAGACTTATTTATAGGCATTTTCATAATGAGCCAACGAAGCAAACTGCTTGCTTATCAAAAGCCTACCAACTATGAGTGGTTGCCAAATTGCTGTTGATGTTGCTTATTACTATTTTTGCTTTAATTATTGCTATTATTATTGCCTTTTTATTTTGTTGTGGTCAATCAACGTCCTTCGCTTCGCGGCGTGACATTGAAGTGCGCTAATCAAAAAGCGCGACGACAGAATGCAAAAATAAACATTAACAAACTTCAAATATGAATACTATATTATTTATTTTTCTTTTTCTGAAGTTGGTTAAATACAACAACAATGACAAAAATAAAATACGTTAACAGCGAAATACGTTAACAAACATTTAATCGTGGCAACAAAATTTAACTTAGAACGTGACATCATCACGCGCTCACGGAAAGCAACGGCAACAACAACACCACCAATGTGTATATCAGATAGTGTGCTTACCTGTGTGCGTGTGTGAGACGTATGCACACACACACAGTCGCCCATACACGTAGTAGAATTTCTACACCTTTTCGTGTTGTCAAAATGAAATGAACTTTATAAATTTATGAACTATGATATGCTGACTGACTGACGCTTAATTTATAAAAATGATAAACATTTGATACCCTGTAGAATTCAGAAAAAATTAAAAGTGTAATCATTAAATATACAGATAAGTAAACATTATAAAAATAGCTATCTGCTGTGCAAAAGCAGCTGAGCTTTTTAGTGATTCACTTTTTTCGAGAATTGTAAACGAGGATTACTTAAAAGTCACCGAAGTTCAAAGAATATTTATCCAAAGCGAACTGCAGTCGATTACGTAGTTTTCAGTTTATTCTATACCAAAGAGCTTGGGTACTACTCCAGCTTTTATTAGTATATGTTAATACGTGTCTAATCTGCTCTTTAATTGTGTTAACATTTAGAAATATTTCCCACAGCACATCCGCTACGCGATGAAAAATTGGAATAAGTTATTAAAATATTTACGAAATTTGATATGCATTGAATTGGCGCATGTTTATCTAGTTTTCCTTTCCATTTTGCAATTATCATAATCATCTCATAAATTAGATTAGATTTATACCAGAAACTAGTTCATATCAATACTGCTTTAATAGGGCGCTTGTGAAGGTGTGTTCAAGTGTGTTTGAAGCATATGTTAATCTATGTAAAATTTGACAATAACACAAGCTCGTAATAGCACCAATCGAAAATATCGATAATTACTTTTGAACAAGTCGAAAGTTGAAAGACTTAAGCTGTAAATTCTAATGTGCATATAATAATCTATAACGAGGCAAGAATAATCGATACATATCGAAAAGTTGTCAAAAAGCGTCTTGTCTATGGAATAATTTGTAAATATTTTACTGAATAATTCAAGAAAATAGATCGATAAAAGCGAAAAAAAAAAACAATTTGTTTAATGCTAAAAATATTTTTTATTTGATAAAGCTAAGTTGCAGTAACAGGCTAGCAAAACTTGGATGGATTAGTCCGAATTAGCTTGAATGATTATTGTTCTTTTTATCCATGGAGGCGGGCGACGGTACGGGGGCGTGTCAGCAGAGATTTTAGCACAGTTGTTGTGTCGTGAGTCATTAATGAATTAAGTAGAACTTCAGCTAAGTCTGTTATTTAGTCAGCAATAATTAATACGAACACAAATGCGATTAATAACACGTTAACAGCCTTCACACATATGCAAAAAAAAAAAACATAAAAAGTTAAGACAGCGCGAGAGAGGCACAGGGAAAGAGAGAGAGAGAGAGAGTGTGAAAATACTGGTGAGAGCAGAGTTCCATAGCTCGCTCTTCGCTCTTCACTCTTTGTGCCAGAACTCTCTTTTTTACCTGTTGTTCTTTATCGTGAGATTCCTATGTTTTTTTCGTTTTTATTTCTTTATTTTGTTGCAGCTTATTGTCTTAGACTCTATAGCGCATTTAGCTCTAAACCTTAACTAATGGGAGGGCAGATATGCCAATTATTCTGCACTTGTAGCTACTATCTTAATTAGTTCTAATATTGTCTAGAGGATGCAATCTCTTCAGTCTTCGCCTATTGTTGTTTATAGCCAGGTTGCTTGCGAGATGGTTAGGATGCGCTGCAAGTCTGTCCGCGTATCTTGAACTGTGTCGCCCAATGAGTTCAGCAACTGTGGGAATTGCTAAATCCCTATGTAAGACTGAGTTTCTTACAAACCAGCTGGCTCCAGTCCATCTGCGTAGTGCTTTATTCTGCAGGGTCTGAATTTTGTTCCTTGTAGTCTTCGCCGAGGAGCCCCATAGAGAGATACCATATACGAAGGTTGGGACAACTATTGCCTTGTAGATGGCGGCCTTGCTGCTGTAAGACAACTTGCTTGAAGCTCTCAGCATCCAGTCGAGGGTTTTTAGCTTGCTTTTGCATTTTGAGGTTACTTGACTTATGTGCGCTTTAAAAGTC